AGTAGAAAAAGGGACATTATAGTACTTTGAAGGATCCAGACGAGATCTGGGCATGATAGCGTGGAAACTTTTCCCGTCAAGAAAAGTGGTCTGATAAAAGTACACAGTCTATAAGAATGCAAGAGAGGTGTTACCTATCAATTTCACCAAATGCATAGTTGTAGTCTAAGTGAAAGAGCCTTGCAGATGGGGACTCCTCCTCCAGGAATGACAGAACAAATCGTTTTGAGGAAGTCAGGAGTAGACCGAGTGACGCAGTGTAGGGTCTCAATAACCATTGTTTAACTTTGAGTACTAGCCACATACATGAACATGGATGGACAGATCACCTAACAGTTCATCATACTGTCATACTATCATCTTACTATCTATTCTACTGATGACGGTTAAGATCGATTTCACTAAGATTAATGAAATGATAACATGATTTGGTTTACCATTGCAGTATCACTGATCATTCATTCATTTAAAGTATATAATCCGTTGTCTCGTCTAGATTGTTTAAATAATATGCGAACTTTCAAGTGTTCTATTTAGCATGCGGTTAGATTTGAAATTGACATAATATGCGTTCGGAATAGTGTTGGTTTGACTGGATAATGTCCCCCCCCTCCTGAAACTATTTTCAGTGGAATCTTAAAGTTCTCACACGATAGAGTTCATTTGTCGAGTATTTTGCTGACAGTTTATCGATCGATATCTAAAAGTGCATCTATTTAGATCGCATTTAATCTTTGTGAGAGAAATCGCCAGTTAAAAAAAGGGTGAGACTCATGTGTGTCATGAAGGTCTCAATAGGATGTGAAATACCGCAAACTATTTTGCAATCGACGCCCCCGCGATCATCAGGGAACGTTTGTTGATTTGTTTTAATTATTGTGGCTACCTGGATTGTGTATGATAGATCTATTCTGTCCGATAGTTTTGCATCCATCCGCTTGTTGGGCCGAGTATCAAACGTGCATATATTTTACCAAAACACTGTAATGCTGGGCTGCGCAACCCACAGACGTCATCCACTTTGGCGTGCACACACACGCTCTCTCTCTCTTGTTCCCTCTGCCCTCTGCTAATTTTGAGACAAGCAGAATCAGTCCAACGGAATTCGCATGTATGAACTGTGGTCTGACAAAAGGGATGGATGAATGCACGCATACATGCCAGCGCATTCAAGCGCAAGTCTGTGAAACATTTCCCAATGAGAAAGGATACGATAGGATATGGAATCTCACAAGGGTTCCACCTCGCACGCTCCCCCTGTTTCAGGCTGTCGCCCTTAAACACACACACACACACACACACGCAAAGTCAATCCCACCTTCGCCTTCGAGTCCAGTCTGTTTTGCTTGTTGTCCTACCCGCGGGTAGGTGGAGACGGCCACATGCCCCGAGGACGACGGAGCGAGGGGGAGGGAGAATGGCGGGATCAGTTAGGCTGATACCGACCGCATGCGGAGACAAGTGTGGCAGATAGAAACAGAATGATGAATTGCCTAGTCCGGACGAGTATGCATGTATTTGTGAATGCAGGTAAGCGCATGTGGGAATCGGAGGAATGAATGAATACGCCCTCGCCAATTCGGTGTCGGTGCCCTTGGATGGGGAAAACTATCAGTCTTGCTGTATGAAAAGTAGAACTGGCGTTATAAGATCATCACGATCGAAGGTTGAAAACATTGCGATCTGTTAGTTACTATTTCTGATTCTGTTTTGACGTTTATACGGGAGTATTCCCATTCATCAATCCCAGTGATCTACTTGATATACTAGTGATATACTTGATAGAAAAGTATATTAGCAGCTTCAAATGATCCTGGAGATCGAAGCTGATGTGGAAATTTTGTGCCCAATCAGCACTGTTCTTGTTCTAATTAGCTTCGGTGAATATCTGAGATGGTCACACATAACAAGCTTATTGCGATAAATATCCCATAGATCGTGAAAAGGTGTGGCCTATATTCTGTCTTTTTAGTAGGTCTAAGTATATTCACATTGAAACGAGGCAGCCCGACAAAAATGAACGATAATTTGATCAAATCGAAAATTTTGCATGTGCATCAAGAGTGACTGGTTACGTCATTTAACTTTACCTCTAATAGGTACTGTGTATGACCTTTTTGTCTGTAATATGAGGGTTTCACTCTGAGCGAATTCCTTTACTTCCATATGTTAAATACATCTATTCAACGTTAGAAATTTTGCTGTCTTAATCGACAAAGAACACTAGGACAATTGCGTTGGCCCCTGTCGGAGGAACAGGCTAGGGAGACTCTACAATTTTTCCCATCACTTCTGTCCGTTGCACGCACATCTAAGAAAATTTTGACTTCCAGTTTACGGTTAGAGTCCCAGGAAGGAAATAAAATGTGTCCAATGCTGACCAGTCCCGAACTGGACAAAGGAGATAATTGGTTGTTCAGTTTGATCAGTATAGAAAAATTTATACCGCTCAGCAGATTTGAAACATGCTTCTCACTGTTTTAAGTTGATGCAAGGATAGTTAGTACATTTTGCTTCTAGTCATAAAACCTTTGAATCACGTCAGGAATTATGGGTTTCACAATCAAATCCATTGTTGGGAAGTCCAGATCATCCAAAGGAAAATAAGACACAGTGGTGAATTTATTAAATGGCATGGCTTCTTTCGCGCACACTAATAACAATGGAAAGTCAAAGAGAATAAAACTTAAGCGTATCTACGAATGTTAATATTACAATTGTTCCTTGGGTGGTCGCAATGAACATCAGGAATAAGCAACAGCTTTGTATAATAGAGTTTGTATTATGTTTAGCCCCGTAATTTATCACCTGTACTGAACAATTTATTTGTCAGTTGTTCATCATTAACTAAGGGAACATCTTAATTACTCGTGTATTGACTGGTAAAAGCTAGATAGTTAGAATAGATCACGATTGACTTTTGCTAACAGCCAACATACTAAGCTATAGGATTTAGAATGATGAGTTGCATGATGTTCATTTTGACTAGCANACTAGCAGGACAATGGCTGCGAAAATGCCAACGACGAAATGTGGTGAACACAACGGCGGTTCGAGTACTATTGCGCAACCTTCTCCTGACCAATATGACCCCCATCTGCGGCATTAATATACAAATAAGTAGTGAAAAATTCTTTTTGAAATAAGTTCAAATGCAAGCAAATGTATAAAATATACACCGCCGCAGTCTCCATAGTGAAAATAATATATATTCCAGACGCATAAGCTTGGAAATTCGGTTGAACCATTTGATAGGTGGATCGTTCAAACATTGCTGGTAATCCGCACGGGCTGATCTGATATACTTCGGACCTTGGACAGGTTTTCTCAATCCCGGGCTAAGTACTGACATACTTTTTGAAGGATTTCACAAAAGAAACCAATGGTATATTTGTTTTGGTCAGCCTTTAACAGAGCGGAATATTGAACCCTGTGGTTTGTATTTGTTAGCTTCCTCTTAACCTGTTCTTTCAGTTAGAAAAGGGGAAGCGTTCAAACTTTGTCCAGTCATTGTCACCACAGAAGCCCAGAAAATACAACCTTAGCTGATGATGAGCTATTAGATGATTAGTTGTCTATAAACGGACAAAATGAAATTGACTGAGGATCGTCTTTGCTAGTTGACCAAGTTCACTTCAAACAGAAGTGGAACAAATTTAATTAACCAAATTTAATTTAATTAGGTGAACTTCACTTTTTTCTCCTGGAAGAAGACCGCTCTATTTGGTTCTGAACTACCCACATACCTGGCACATTTGACAAACAGTGATCGGGCGTTCAATCGTGTTTTTTCCCCACATTGAATCATTTTGTCGACGGACTCGAAAGAACACCATATTTTATTTTCTTGAAACAACGTAAATCGTATCGTTTCCATTCCGCAAGAATTCCTTTTGAAAAACATCCTCAGCCGTGGCATGATATCTCTGCGATCGATGTGGATAGCAATAATCAAGCCATAGGAATCGACAGCGAATAAAAGCATCAATTGTCTAAAGAGTGCTGCCACTGATGCCTTTGTTTCCCTTTAGCGAAGAAATGATTCAATTGAAGTGGAAAAAGTTGTGAGAGATTTAGCCTAAGGTATTTGCCTAAGGTATTCCGTAGTTACATATTCTTTGTGTAACCGTCAAATAGGCAAATTAACAAGAAGTAAATGACAACTCCAAGGTTTGAGACTTCACAACCTTGGACGATTTGTAACAATAATGACTCCCCATGCATACGAAGAACCTTTACATGGGGCTCCAATTTCTTTTAAATAACACATTGATATTGAATAATACGTCACCTCTTACACGGTTATCCTCAATGAAAACAGCTGAAAACACTTCGCGAAAAACCGCACTAGGAGTTTTCTAAATATTTACTTCACTAATCATCTGTTTCTTCCTTCGTGAAGTCAGAAATCATGATGCTGATTTAAATCAATAGCTAAAGAAAGCGGACCTCTAAAAGTGGAGCAAGTTATTTTTTCCAAACCCCGCGGCGAGAGTTTTGTGCAATGCAGGATACAAAACACACTAGACACTGGGTGATGTATTTAAGGGTGTAACCGTTGTTAATGTTCCATTTTGCATCGTAGTTTCTATTTATTAACTTTCATATTCGTTTTACCAGTCATTTTTGAAAGTTTCTATTTCGATAAGAAGATAAAAGCAATTGGCTAATTTAATAACTGAAACGCTCAGCAGTCAATAACTTAATGGGATTCGTCACTATCAGGACAAAACTAACTGAACTCACAACGTTTTCTGTTTTGTTGGAATGTATCAGTTATTTAAACACAAATATATCAAGCAAGATGGAATGAAATATCAAGATGACATAGCTGAAATGATTGTTTCGAAACAATACAATTACTGGGCTTTCAACATGTTTGGGAGTTTGATAAAATTGATCGATTTGTAATTTTCACATTTCAAAAACACTACTGACTACTTTGAAGTAGTCAAACAAGGATTTATAAATTTATAATTCGAACGTTTGGTAGCCTTGGTTACATTCAATCATTTGTTTTCTTTCAGGCTGTGATCAATAAAATGGAGGTACAATGCAAGTGTCACGGTGTCAGCGGTTCATGCGAAATGCGAACTTGTTGGCGTTCGTTACCGAAATTCCGAGATCTCGGAGAACATTTACAAGAACGCTTTCATCAAGCAATTTTGGTCGATTACGTGGACAAACGGCTTGTCCCAGTGGATACACTGACCGAACAATCACCCGAGCGAGGTTTGTTCTCAAAGAAGACTCGCTCATCCGCGACGGGTTCTCCATCGGATAGCGAAAAACCAACAGCCCCTACCGAGAATGATCTGATATACATTTCTGGCTCACCAACATTCTGCCATCACGACCCGGGTTTTGGCAGCATTGGTACATACGGAAGACGGTGTGTGGAGGATGCAAAAGGTCTGAACAGTTGCGAATATTTGTGCTGCAATCGCGGATTTAAACGAGAAACGTTTGTTCAGGAAGAAAGGTGCAACTGCAAATTCCAGTGGTGCTGCAAAGTGATATGCCAAACGTGTCGCAAGACAGTAGTCGTATCGACCTGTAACTAATTGGTTTACTCACCCTTTGGCCAATTTATCATTCATTGTACGAGAACAAAGGTAATATAAGTACATAAAAAGCAGGATAAATTCTGCCACATACCAAACATGTTGAAACAAGCAATCAAAGTTTTCCAATTTGTTCATAGAAAAGCGTTTGCCGACGCTGGTCTTTATCATTCACAAATCCCGGAAAGTAAAGAATGCTTCAGCTTAGAACTGCCAAAACTGTTTTCGTTAAAAATTCTACTGAAATTCACCATGTTTGATCTTGTCCTTTTTTTCCTTCTGCTGTCAATTCAGAATGCGTCCGTCCTTCTTCCATTATTTGTTTGCACGCCTATATTCAGATTACGGTCATTCTCTCGTTCCCTCTCACACACATACAAGTGTCTCCCATCCCAGTTCACTTTCGGTCGCCTTGTGAACTTGTCTCATTCTTCATTCGTACCCTTACTGCCGTACACCACTGCCTCAGTTGTCATGTCAGCTAACGCAACACAATCCAACTCAACAAATCCAATGACCACCACTACCACTGAGCTGCGAACCAATGTTGCGTCATTTCGCAAAGTCGGACAACACGGTTATCTAACAACTGTGACAATCTTTTCGAAATCCAAAAGAACTCAGCAGTCATCCCCTCCCTCACAAAAGCCTATTTCAAAACCTGGTTACAGGTCAAGAATGTCGTTTTTTAAACTTTATCTTGTATATTATAATTATTCTGAATCATATGCAAATACACATTAAAATACCCATTAATTCTATATGATAGATAGTAGAATTGAAGAAAAGAAGCCCATCTTCAATAAGTTTTGGTCGCACGTGTCGTTTGGCGTTTTCGAAGAAAGAGACATGTTGATTTGAGAGTTGTGTCTACTAATTGTCGCCACTATGACTTAAAATTAGACAACCGGAGAGCATATGAGTAAATTGAGGCGGTCACCGTACATGATTTGGTGATAGACAGACAAACAGAAAGGTTGACCGTACTTGGAGAACTCGACTGTGATATGGACGTATACATCTGCGTGAGTGTGTTCAAAATCTCGTTCCTGTCATCAGACGGTGAGGCACCTAGTTCCCACCTGCTCATTATTTCTTTCGAGGTGCAGACAGGGTATTTGTTTACACGAAATATGAGCCTTGGAAACAAATATATTTGGCTGTGAACTGAATTCTTTGCAAGTAAAGTAGCCAGTTGGCCGAACTGTCTCTACTAAAATTAGAGCATGACTGATGACAGTAAAACGGAAAGAATTCCGGTGAAATAATAAAAATTGATCAATGAATTGTTCAGTAGAGGAGTGAGATTATTGACGTTTCAGATGATAAAATGATTGAAGTACTACGATGCTTTCGTCAACTATGTCACATGCTTCAAAAATGAAACACTTATTTGTATCTCTTGCAGTGTTTCAAATTTATATTGACCAATGAAGCTACGGCAGAAACAAAACAGGTCTTCCAGGAACCACTGGTATTGAGTTCACCATATTTTGGTCAGCAGAATACTGTAGTCAAATTTATAAATCTCAAACGATTTTTTAGATTATAAGCATGTGTTATACAAGATGGATGAGTCGATTTATCTTAGACGAACCTGGTCTAGGTATAAGGGCGTGGTGTTATCATGCAAGCACAGACTGCTGAGACTGTATTAACCAATTAATCATGAATAAACACAGCATTACGTGGAAATTGAAAATGTGAGGGGCAAGGAGTCCTTAATTTGCCCGATCGCTTCAGAGATACAACAGATCTGGTACCCTGTGGCTCGAGTTCTCGGACATCATAAGCGTTATAAACGATCACATCGGCTCACGGTTTCAGGACGAAACTGTGGGTCTTCGAGTCAACTGGGGTTCAATGGGTGTATTGTTTACAACAAGGTGTAGCGTTAAAATGATTCACTCAAAATATTTTGCTCCATAGACCCCATTTAAGAGTAGAATAGTCGGTGGTCAAGCATGCAGGTGATATGAGCCAAGGATCAATTTATATCTGAATTTCAACATGGCTAGGGTAATTACTAATCGATCAAGTTTACGATAAACAATGACTGTTACTTGAACAATTTCTCAGATATTTTCCCCTTTTTGAGGTGAGTACGTCAAAAGAAGATCAACATGTCTGTGTTTCATTGAACTGCATCAAAGAAAGTTTCTTGGAAAGTTTCACAGTTTTCGACCCTGTACATAAGCAATATTTGAATAATAAAGTGACAGGAACAATCATATAGATGAAAACTCGAAACATGTTTATGAGCATTTTTGGAAGGCGACTTAAAACGTCGTGGTATGTTTGTCTGTTCATAAATCGCCCTTATTGTATAGCTGGTCAGGACAATATTCCAATTTGTTGATATTACCCACACAGTCGCAATGATAACATCGCAGAACATCTTACTTAAGTGTACATTCGAACACGTTGAAGAGTCACACTTAGGGATTTCAAAATACAAAGAAACCATGCATCGTGCACAAAAACTCAACACTTGTAGTTTAGAATTTGCCTGAGTACAATGTCAGTAAATCCATAGTGACTATGTTCAGAACCGACGGAATGATTCGAACACCCTGATGCTCAAAATGGATGGACATTGTTTTCGAACCTTGATGATGAAAACAAAGTTTCTTTCACAACTTTTTGTCTCTTAGTATAGTCAAAGGTAAATTTTTAGTACGACAATTACTTATAAGCTGGGGTTACTGTGGCACTGTGGGATATTTCTACAGTTGAACTGGTTCACGGGCCGAAAATGGACAAGGTCACATGCAGTCAGTGCCATAAATGTTTCATATGATGCAGCCTGAATTACACTAGTGGGCTAATGGGTTCAGTCGTGTGTATGTGTGTGTGTGTACGCCATAGCTGATTTGTTACTCGAATTCGATGGCTTTCTGGTTTGATTGGTCACTGCACAACCATATTACGAACTGTGCTGATGAGAGAATGATTGATGAAAACCTCTCACAGAAATGAGACAAATCCAGACAAGAAAGCATCACTTCGGATGCAATCGATTTTCTTTATTTCATCTGGTTCCATGTAATGGTTACAAACAATTATCTGAACGTGGGGCTCCCATATGATGATTATTCCAGTTACCTGGTTTTACTGAGAAGGTTTATATTTTAGGAAACGGGATACAGATCCTCATAAAGTGAGATATGCCATGCGACCTAGGGGAGCTTGAAACATCTGCTGCAATCAGGGTCAGGATATGCTGAACTCCAAATTGTTGTTACTTCCAAAATGCCATCCAAGTTACGATACACCGCATTGAGCTTGTTTGCTTCACACCGGGAAAAAACGGATACCTGCAGAATTCAGAGCATGGTGCTAGTATTAAGCGAAGATGACCCAGTCAGATTTAGGTACCCCGCTTAATGAGCTGGATTTAACAGTAAAGAGTCAGTGTGATGGACAGTCTTTGCTTTAAGGGCACCACGCAGCTTCTGTCCACATTTAAATCCTAATGGATTCATTAGATCTACCCAAAAGCGTACCTTCATCCGTAATCGAAATAATTAACAGTTGCCTAGAAAATCATGTGACACTGCAATAGGATGAAATAAATTTCATCCAACTGGAATGCTACCAGTCAAGCTTGACCGAGTTTTCTCCTTTACCATGATCAACTAAAATTAAGTATTATCTGCTTTCTATTGCTGTTAGTCTACAAATCAGCAACGCATCAGACACTAAACGACTTTGCCAATGTGCTCACCTGACCATTTGTTGGTATGTTCTACACACAGTGGCTTACCAGTGCCCAGTCGCTCCATAGATCCACTTAAAGCGGAATGGTAGTTGACCGGATAGAGTGAACGTGAAAACAACGAAAGAGCACTGGCCGACTCTAAACGACTAGAGCGATTGGACTAAGTGAATCACTCCGGTGAACGTGTTTTCGTTGTCCCTGATTTACCGATTCACAAATCGATTCACTGCATCTAAGGTACAAATTACCGACAGGAAGCGGACTTGCACTAGAGGGAAGGAGAGAAATGAAAAAAAACCTTTGTGATGGTCAGTGCACCAACTGATAAGGTATTAAATCATTTCTTAATCGTGATACCGAATTGTGGCGTTCTTGTTGTGGCAGAATTGTGTCGAAAGGACTCCGATGGACGTAACAGTAGTTGCTCCATTTTATCCTGTGGCCATCAAGGATTGGCGGTAGTCTCTCTGATCAGAGTATAATCACCGATGTTAATAGTACAGCTTTATCTGTTGCTTTAGTTTCTAGTGAATGTCATCAATAGATGAATCTGTTCCATTCGATCCGTGCAGTTATAACAGTATGCTTGCACATTCGACTTGGGG